TTTGGGGTGTTTGGTCCAGTTTTGTGTAGCAAAATTCAGCCCAACTAAGTGTGGTATAGGTTTTAAGGGTTACCGGGTCCCTGCATTTCATCCAACCCTAGAAGTTAAAGTTTTTGCATTGTTGCCATATGGCAACCAACTCTTTTGGTTTAGGGAGACCTTTTTACAAATCAAGTCACCAGCTCCTAAATTTTGGGCACCATGGCAACCAAAATGGTCACAACTTGGAGGGTTGTCATCCCTGCCCGGACATTCCTAAAGTACCCCCCCCCCCCATCCTCCTCAGGGCTTCAGGAATGTTGATTTTATGGACAAGCAAACAAATCACAAAAGCACAGACTAATCACTGTTGCTGTTTGCCCTTTACTTTCCACACCAGGCCTGATTGGCTCTTTCCTTGTACAGTAGAACCTCAATATAATGAAGGGTGGAGGGACCAACAAAATTTGTTCACTTTGACGAGGTTTCCTTATATCAAGGTTCTTTTTCATAAATTTTACTATTACTGGGGTAAAGAAAATTGTATGCTATAGCGAGGACCTCGTTATATAGAGCTTAAGATTTTTAAATTAATAAATTTTCTCACACAAAAAGTCATTCCAGAAATATTTCTGGTGTTCACAATTTTGAGTTAAACATTAAGAACTTTAATGACACACACCTATCCCCAGTTGACATTAGTACTCTCAGGGTTAGGGTAGTAGTGCAGTAGCTCCCAAAATGTTATGTAGTTTTATTTGATCACTGAGTTATTCAGGGCAGTCAGACATAATTTATTCTTTTATGATTCCAAAGATTCAGTAACCCTCTCTTTTCAAACATCTTGGTGAAAAATTAGCATCTGTTACAGAAGGAGTCAAATTATAATTTTAAGCCATTTTTCAATTTCTTCAAACAAAGGGAAACAGATTCTCCACAGACTCAATTAAAACATATTCCATCTTGTTTTCTGTCAGTAGTATATTCCTGTCAACTTTACACCAAGTAGGTATAAGGCCAAGTTCAATTGTCAAACTTTTTGTGTACCGAACCTAATCCCTTCAATTAAGAACATGAAGAGATCTACGTTTCAATCAATTAAGTCTGACATGTCTTATTTGGGCGACTCATAAATTAAGATAATTTGAGTGGCCCACATGGGAAAACCTACTGCATAAAATTTATTACTATAATTTATTTTCACTTGTATGCAGTTTAGACCATTGAACATCCTGAAAATGAATTGAACTCAACCAATTAAGTTTGACGCCTGAGTCAACCGTTGAAATAGATATTATGTTCAGTTCGTGAAAAGATCAACATTTGAACTGGACCTTAAGAAACTGGACATTCATACATGTAATTATCTATTATGTTTGAAAATGTCATTAACCTTAATTTGGACAAAATAATAAAATGATAATAAATATTCTACTATTTGCATCTAATGTTTTAAAATTTGAAATAAAATGTTCAAAGAAACCTACAAACCCGTCATATTAAAATGAATCGGAAGGCTTCAAAATTTATGACGTAAGTAAAAATTAAGGTTATATTTCATTTTGAATTTTCAATTGAAGAGGAAAAAAATAAGATAACCTAAGGTAGCTTACTAAAAAGAGCCAAATTTTTCAAAACAATTTTTTTACCTACATAAGACAGAACCATAGCTGTTAACATTTTAATGTCTGCATGCAGAGCTTCACTTTAGAAATAGGACTGAAACCAGTAGGCTACATGTATATCATAGCAGATGTTTTAGCGCAAACATTCAGAACATTGCGCATATCAGCATAAAACAATAATTCTAAATATCCGTGGGAATTCTGAATTATTTTTGCATCTGCAAAACCATAACTTAAATCTCTTTGAACTTAATGAGGAGCCCCTTAACTTCGAACAGACAAGTCGAACGGAAAATCGAACAGATACCATCAGATTGTTCACAAGTCACGAAACTTTTAAGAAGCACTGACAAACGAGAAAATTAATTTTTAGCGTACATTAACTGCAAGGCTTTAAAATAAACAGATAAATTAAGCCAAGTGCCAAACCCATAGGCGATGTATGTTTGTTACTAGGTCATCAAAATTATAAACTCGCCGTTTTTAAGAAAGAATAATCGAGGACGTCGTGCTTTTATTTTCGGCAGAGCACAAAATCGACATTTCCGACGAACTTTTTTTACTTATAAACCCAAAGACCGCAAACTTAAGAATTCATCCACGAGTTGCATCTACGACGTAAAACATTGTAGGGCTTTTTTACCTTCACATATAAGTCCTTGATTTGTCAAACCCCAGAGTAGATCAGTACAGTGGTGACAGTAGGTTGGACGAGTGAAGCTTTTCCTTCCAAATCGATGTCCGCTTTGTCCGTGTGCCGCAAAAGCTTCGTCCAGTTTTGAATCGGAAAGACATCGTGGCATACTATCCGCGTTTGCCTGCAAATGAGACATTTTACATAACAGTTTTATTCGCCGCTTCCATGTTTTAACGTGTCGTGTTGACAACAGCTGTAAAGTTATGAAGGTCTTCTTCGGTCATCATAAACAACTGTCAGAGTCTAGTAAGAGTGTTGAAGGAAACTGGTGTCGAAAGCTCGCTTGGGGACTGAAAACTAAGTCAGCAACTTCGGAAAACTTCGGGCGATCTTCGGGCCTCTCGCTTTTTCGGTGTGTTTTTAACGGATGCAAGAACAGCTCTGACACCGGAAAATGATACAAGCTGCTGTGGTTAACTCAAGCGAAAACCATGTGAAAAATGTGAGATAAAAATCTCGAAAACAACAGCCAAGACAAAACAATAGATATTGAGCTTTTGGAACGATCAAGGAAAGAAACAGATGAAAAGAAATACAGTAAGGAAAACTCAACGGCAATTTCTTTCAAATGCTTCGAAACCTGGGCTAATTATTAGTGCAGCCATCCTAGGCTTTTCGAGTTTACTAGGAGTTTTTTCGCATTTTTTTTCCCGAAACTCCAGGATAATCGCTTGTCACACGTTTTCGTACAGGTGATGACGTAGCCCGGAAAACGTGAGATTTTCTGATACAAAGTACTACTTTCCGTCATCATTTTTGAGACCAAAAACTTAAGGAGTCCTTATCTATGAATAATGCCCAAAATGGGGAGAAAAATGCGAACATCCAAACTTCCAAGAACCGTAGGGTGATTAATAGGAAAACCCTGGAATTCTTAGGTCGCTCAAGTTCCAATTGCCAGCCTGATTTGCCAGAACTGGCCGGCCGGACCATTGCCGGACGGCAATCGGCTTTTTTTCAAGGGTTTTTGCTGAAAAACCATCTCCTTCCTGCACACTAACTAGGATTTGACTGATCTGGCTGGATTAATAGTGAAATTCAAATTACGACGGGAAGGGTTACGTTTGGCCGGTCAGTTCTGACAAATGGAAAGCGCCCTTAGATTAATGGTAACGGTCATGTAGAAGTTCAGTCGTCCTTTCTCGAGTTATAGATTACTAATTTCGAGACAATATTTACTTCTTTGAACGGACGTTCTTACAGAAAACAATCGATTGTTGGGTTCCTAGGAAAAACAGACAAAAAGGTCTGCTAAAATACTAATAAATAATTTTGCTTCAAGTAAAATCAGAACGTATGAAATTCTATGTTAAAGAAAGAGATCGATATTTTTTATCGCTTAACATACCATTACCAAAGAAGCCGGCTAAAAATATATTAGCATTAATTTCAAATATATGAAACTGATATAAGCAGAGTATATTTATCCACAACTTAAATAAGCTCCAAATACTAAAATGGGCATAGGATCTGATCACAGAAATCGTTATCTTTTAAATGGAATTCCAGTGGGAACTTTCGCGGAGCAATTTAAATTATTATTATTATTATTATTATTATTATTATTATTATTATTATTACTATCATTATATCACCTTTAAGCGCTGAATCCAAGCATATCAATGCAGCAGATTTCACTTTACGCGGTTTGATTCAGTACTGACTTTTTTGTTGTTGTTCAAACGTTCCCGACCTGCGTCATTCAGCTTGAATAGTCGTCATTTATACTAATTATAACAACAACAACGACAGCAAACTTTATTAATAGGCAGAGGATGTAACAGAAGCACTGCCCGCGGCTAGCAAGGCTATTCAAGGCGGGACAATGTGTGCAAAATAAGAAACTAAGATTAAGGAGTAGCTAAGGAAAGTTTACAGTTGACAAATAAATGAAATAAAAATCGATGGTTGAGGGCTAAATACTAGGTATACCTATCGATAGAGTGCCAACGAGGAAATCATGCGTATTTTGCTTAGGAATAAAATTCCTTTTTTTCCCATTTGACCGTTTCTTGGTCCCTTCCTGTTGCAAGGATTATTTTCTTGAAAAGTTCTCAGATTCAGTCTGGTGGCTTTACAAACCTGCTATGTAAAAGTGTGAAGTGCCTTGAAAGAATAAAGTCAGCTTTGCAGAGGAAGCGATCGGGAATATTATTAAGTCCAGCTACAAATCTACTGTCGGTTCGGTTTCACATTGTTGATAAATATTTGCACAGTTTAATCATTTAAACCTCCTTTCAAATTTCCCGAGGCTTTTTGTTATCGGATTGAAACTTAGAATGATTCGCTGGGCCATCTGAAATGTTTCCAAGGACATGCGATGTACGGCACGTCGGTATTTAATTTTAGTTCATTATTTTTATACTGAACTCGGCCAGGTTTCGAAAAAAATGGCGTTGTTTTCTTTTCCTTTGTCGTTCGCTTTAGGCTTGTAATTCGTTTTTGTTCTCATTGTTTTTGTTTGCTGGTTAGATTTTTTCCCCAACACCAGATTTTCCAACAGAAGCGACTGCATTCTTCGTGTCAAGCTTTCCTTATCTCCTCGTGTAATCTGATCCTTTTTAGTGGTGAGAATATTGCTTGCTGCACATAGAACACTTTTGCTGTTTTACAAACTTCTCTTCGTTAAAATTTAACATTATGGCCCCTAAAATTAATAGAATATATCAAGTGCTCATGTCTCTTGACTGCGGTGGCCGGGTTTGACGAAAACATTTAGGTAAATAAACACAGGAAGTCACGACGGCGGGAAGTGTGTGAAATTTTGTTTGTTATTCAACTTGAGCCCGTGCGCCAGGTACTGCCTTTTGATTGGTTCACAACTGACCACTTGGTCTCAGGGGAATCTACATTACATTGGGTTACGCTTTTTTCAGCTCGATCGAGAATTTTTCTGCCTATTGCCCAGTCTTACGCGGCTCTATTCTGCTGCCGCCTCGCCATCCGAGCGTCTTCGCTCGGATGGCTCGTTGGCAATTAAGATAGAGCCGAAGAAGGAATTAAACAAATTAATAACAAGTTGTATTAAAAAGTAGAAAGTAAACGAGAAGCAATTTTGTAAGTAAGCCAACCGTTTTACTGATTTTTAAAGAAACAGCATGAAAATGATGTTTCCAGGCAAGCTGGTTTTTATCAATCAAAATGCCAAGATATTTAATATAATCCTTAGATTCAAGAGTAGTATATTCATTTTTATCGTCGTCAAATAAACTTATTTTAGGTTTATAATTAAGCCTTTTTGTTTAAGATGAAAGATTACAAAGTTGGATTTACTACTGTTAAGTGGTTAGATTATTACATGTTAACCAGTCGTAGAGTCAGTTGCACAATTCTTCATTGACTACAGTAGTGTTTCAAGAACTTCCAATTTTTTTGTACCAGTTGCACGCAAAAGTAGCCGACTTTTAAAAAACAAGACCAAACAATGATGACTTTGTCGAAAAGTTATACCAAAGTCAACTTCTTGGTAACGTGTTAATGTATTTTTTAAGTTAATCTTCGTCGTACGGGGCTATGGAACTTGCTCCTAGTGTTTACAGCTATTTCGAGAAAGGTTGTCGGAAAAAATGTGCACGCGACAATCCTGAAAGGCAATATGGGATATAATCAATACACTTTATACTTTCTTTGAAGAACAGAGAACTCAAAACCACCCACAATGCCTTTCGGGATTGTCGCGTGCTCTTCCGACAACCTTTCTCGAAATAGCTGTATACGAGAGCATTGCTTAGGCCCAGTTCAAGCGTCGTATTTCACATAATTTCAAATTTTATACTACTAGAAGAGAAATTTCTGCAGTTTGATTGGCTCAGAGCAGTGATATTTCAGTTTAATTTGAAATACCTACATGTGAAAATTACAATCCTTTTGTGGGTTGTAGTGATTCAGCACTATATAAAACAAACAATAGCATGATTTGTACGTGATATTTGGCATTATTACCACTTGTGATATTTCAAAATTGTCTCAAAATTCACTCACTTAACGGCTCGTGAAATTACGTAAAACAATTTTCAAATATCACTTGTGGCCTTTTATGCCAAATATCACTACAAATCATGCTATTACCTATACAAATACTGAAGTGTTGTAAACCATCTTGTAATTTAGCTATAAATATATTAGTGAACTTTTAAGCGCAATTTTTTACCGCACGAAGTCAAACAAATTTAAAAGCTTAAGAAATTTTTGTTATGTGTTTTTCTTGTTGTTGTTGTTGTTTTGTTTCTTAATAGACCTTTTTATCGATACGGCGGCCATATTGAATTAATTCGATTTAAGGAGTATTATGGGATGCCCAGGGGGGCATGAGCACGATCCGTTGTACTAGCTTAGTATTAAAAATATGGTCTTTGTAGAGGTAATAGCATGATTAGAAGTGATATTTGGCATAATTATAAATAGCACGAGTGATATTTCGAAATTGTTATACGTAATTTCACGAGCCGTTAGGCGAGTGAAATTTAAGACAATTTTGAAATATCACTCGTGGTATTTATGCCAAATATCACGTACTCTGAGCCAATCAAACTGCAGAAATTTTTCATGTAGTAGTATAACACTGTGTGTTACTCGGGAAAAAGGCGGTCGTATTTACATCCAAACACTGCACGACGCTCTTTTTTTCCGATTACAATCTTTTTCTAGGAAAAAGGGGCACGTTAATGCTAAGCGAATATAGCAGAATGTGCTTATGCCCCCCGGGCATCCCATAATACTCCTTAAATCTAACTAATTCAATATGGCCGCCGTATCGGTAATTGAAAAGTCCAATGTTTAATACTCTTCTTGGGGGGCGTCATCACCATTTCTGTCACGTACAAGTGAAAAAAAAAAACAAACAAACAAACAGTTTTTAATATATAAACAACAGACCTATCTGTGATAAACAACAGACCTACGTACGGATTTGTGATTCCCCATCCCAAGACAAATTTTGCTTGAACGTGACAGCGGTTTTGGAAGTTAGGGTGAAACTTAAACGAAGATTTGTTTCCAGACGTAGATTCGTGAACTATACTGTTTTGCGTAAACTCATTTTTTTGTAATTTGACGAGCCGATTTTATTCTCGGCCAATTTCTTTAGGCAGAGATTGGCTCGATAATTAAGTCGTAGCATGTAAATTGGCCATTTTAGGAGTATAAAGACAAATTTTATTGCGTAAACCTGCAATGCGGCATTTGGATCGTTTAAATATAGAAGTATCGCCCATACTTTAACATTTGATAGAGATTTCAAGAAAAATGAGTTTAGCTTTAGAGCGTTAATAGGTTAGCCGATGGGAAAGGTTAATCCGAGAATTCAATTTTTCAATTTCATGTGAAACGTGTTTAGGAAAAATTCGTAATAATCTAGACAATAATTATATACCTAAAATTCCGCCGAAATATTTCGTCAGTATATACCCAAGCCTAAAGGAAACGTAGTATACCGTTTAGCCGAGATCACTTGTTTTTGTACTTTATATCCGGGCCATTTTCAAAAATTTCCGTTTACCATATACCTATAAAAACACTGGCTCATCCTGACTGCTCGATTGGTCAAGTTCGCATGCACTAAAATATACATTGAGTTCTTACCTGCTGTGATAAGTCGGATAAAGGTCTGGATGAACGTGGGCTGATAGTCGAGGAACACAGACACCTATTCTGAAGTGAATCTTATCTTAGTAAACAGAGCAATAATTACTATACTGTGATACCAAAACAAGGACGAGAACAATAATACTGCATTAGACTCTTACGTTACATGCTTCATGACTAACGTAATTTAAAAGTGGAAGCCAATCTATGAATGACGTCAGTTGTGCTGCGAAAACAACTAGTTCACTTAACAGTGAAGGAAATTTGGATCGGCATTTTAACTTCCGAATGCCCCTTGCTTAATTATCTTCTACATATAGGGAAAATATATTTTTGGAGTTCCAGTATGAATGAAGTACTTCCGAACATAGACAGTTTTATAGGTTAAAGTAAACAGTAAGTAAGAAATAGAAAAATATATTTGCACTAAGAATATATAAGAGTTTAGAAAAACTAATGGACAAGTGGACTTTGTAATCTACTTTATTTTCTTCTTTTACAAAATTGAATAAAGAGCGTATTCACATGACGTCACGGCCGGCCATATTGGTGTTCCAAAACAGTGAAGCGGCGGCCATGTTGGTGTTCCAAACAAATCCTGTGGGAGTTGGACTCTTTTCTTATGTAGAAAACTTTCTTTTGTTCCCATAAATTTGCATAGATGCTGGCCACGTGAGTGAATACACTCGATACCCTTCAGTGGACTTTGAAAGTAATTTATAAAGGGGTTCGATAAAATATGTGAAAATTACAGACCTTTTGCGGATAGTAGTATAAACGAATAATAACATGATTTGTATGTGATATTTGGCATAAATACCACTCGTGATATTTCAAAATTGTCTCAAACTTCACTCGCCTAACGGCTTGTGAAATTACGTATAGCAATTTTGAAATATCACTCGTGGTATTTATGCCAAATATCACTACAAATCATGCTATTACCTATACTAATGAGCATGATTATCACTAATTTTTTGAAAAAAAAAGTACTACTCGCATAATTGGCACTTTTGGCAAGTTTTACAGCACAAAATTGTCATCAAGAAACCAATTTTTTTTTTGCCCTGAGATCAGTGTTACAGTCACATTTAAAAATTTTTCTTCATGGGACCGAAGTGACCCAGGACCCTTTCCACGCATGCGCATAACTAGCTCGGTTACCCAAGATGGAGTCCGCCTTCTGGTTGTTAATTTTTTGAGTGTTTAAAGTTGTCAGGCCATGAATTATGCACTCTTGAAGTTTCTAGAGGTCAGAAAGATGAATGTTTTTGCCATTTACTTGTTTGTTACATAGTTATTGACGTATTTTTACCAACTTCAAAACTTCAACTTTAAATTTGGAAATAAAACAAAAGATACATTGGGACTGGCTTGCAGTTAGCGAGGCTATTCGAGGCAGGCCAGGCTACATAATTTACTACAAACTAGACAAATACAAAGAAATTAGACTTTATATAAGTATATATAGTTTACATTAAATAGATAATATTCTACTTAAATGCAAGGACAATATCTAGTAAAGTGAAATTTAAAAATAAAATAAAATGAAAATAAAGGACAAGAGAATTACTTATTCATTTTCACAGTTATCGTATCCACATCAATAAAGGAGTCTTCAGTTTCAAGGACGTCGAGAAGCATTTCTTTTAGTGATCTTTTAAAAGCTTTTTTCGGTCTTTCTTTAAGAATTTGAGGTATCCCATTCCAAATTTTGAATTGGTAGCTGTACAGTTTAAAAGCATCTAGTGATTTCTGGATGTGGTCGCAGGTCTCAGATATCTTATCGAGTCTTGCCCTAATTAATTTCTTCAAGCTCTTTACTGGCACTTACTTTGAAAGCAATCAAATAATCATACTGGTTCGAAACAAACTCCACTGATTTGGTTTTGTCTGGTGACAGCACTTCGCCGCTACTACCGACATTTAGTTTGCATTCTTCAGTTCGTTCACTTAACTCTTTCAAAACCTTTTCTATCTTCACTTTAAGCTCCGCTTCTTCGTACTTGAGTTCTTTGTTTGCTTTTCTCAATTTTTGTTCACTATTTGTCATGATATTAGAGAGAGTTACCACTCGCAGCTCGCTCGACGTGAAATTTAAAGTGAAAGTAGAAGCGCAGTTTCTGCCTTTATTTGATAAAGTAAGCATAATTTACAAAATCTAGCATAATTATTAGCATATTTTAGGAATATACCAGCACTGTCAGTAGCCTATTATGCTACTTTTAAGAGGACAATCAGTATCAAAGCCTTATCAGTTCCATTCCTGCATGATATGGATCTTGGAAACAATGAAAACTTAAAAAGTTATTCAACTAATGAACAAATGTAAAATACGCATGTTGCAAAGCTTCAATCGCAGGTTAGACTCAGTCTCCAGCCTTGGGTGTTTTGATGCGCGCGCGGTATTCCCCATCCGTCGGGTAAACAGTGAAAAAGCGATCGAACAAAAGCCGGCTGGAAGGTAAAGGGGAGAGTCTGCAAGCATCTTTTTACACACGTCAATCCGTCCACTACCAGGCCCACTTCCAGAAAAACAGGTTCGCGTGTCAAAATGACAAATGATAAAATATATCAAAATGTACCTTGTAGAGGGGTTTCACACACTCGCTCTGTTATTTCTTTGTCTCTGCGTGCGCGAGACCAAGCGATTATGGACCTTAAAATTAAACGACGCGACGGTAACGAGAACGTCACTCAAAAGTGAATTTTCGTTCTTTCAGTCTTCATCACGATTATTCCTACCCACTTACTTTGTCAAATGCTGGCGAACCCTCCTGATTTGAATTCCAAGGGACCATATCCAAGTCTAGAAAGATAAATAAAATTTCGTCGTTGCATGTTTACGTTCTCCATAAAACGCGAAATTAGACATTTTCACGTCGTAGTACTGCAAAAACGGCAAAGAAATGTACAAAAAAGTACGATGTACGCGCGAAGTTATTGTTTTGCTCATCAAACCTTTTTTTACGTTCTCGTTGCCGTCGCTGACGTGCTTGACATAAACTGCAAAAATTGACCAATCATAGGTACACAGGAGGTGGTACACCGGAATGAGGTATTGAAAACAGTGCTTACAGGCTCCACTTACCCTTCTCTCCCCAGCGCCCCCCCCCCCCATGCGGTTTTCGCGTAACATTTCTCTTAGCGCTTTCCCTACAAGATAGGAGCCTGCAACAGGCTAATTACTGCTTTGAGTACCAATAACTTTATTAACCTGATTGCACTGAGTCGTGTATTCTAATCATGCGTCAACACTTAGGCACCTTGTATGACGATAATGATGACGACGATAAAAGCAAAAATAGTACGTTTTGTGAGGAATTTATGGCCTGTGCCAAAGTCTCCTATTGCCTTTACCTATTATTATTTATTACTAATAATAGTTGACACTACAGCTGCCCCCGTTCTGTATATTGTCGGTCAATAGTATTCATGCTGGTTGTGAAGCTCTTTGAAATATACCGATTTATAATGAAGATTTTCACACATATTCCATACAATAGGTGAGATAAACACAGGAAACGCAAGGTTCCATGCACAGTTTCAGCTCGATTTGCACAGCTTTGATCAAAACATTCTCAGTTTGAGAATAGTTTATTCTAAACCATAAGAAACGGATTTAATTAGAAGTTGAATTTTTCGCTATTTCTCTTTCCCTTTTTACATTCAGTTCATTTTATTTGCCGGAAAGTAAGCCTTAGAAATTAAAAAGACGTTTGATCGATTCTCGCTAGCGCATTCTAGTCTTATTTGAAACTTTATAACGGAAGGACATCTGTGAGCAGGGAATAAGTCAGCACAGAATTTGATTGTCGGCGAATTTCTGTAAATGTCCATCAATCTGCTGGTAATAAGCTAGCCGTTGTTCACTCGTCTTGCTTGTTTGGGGCTGAGTCTTATTCCCGTCAAAGAGAGAGAAAGAGTGTTTGGCAAGGTTTCCAATATAAATCAAAGATTTGTGAACTCGTGTCTGGCAAACTCTCCAAGTGTTTATATACACACAGTTAAACGCACCTTATAACCTCCCCTGCGCTTAACGAGTGTCTTTTGGTCCATAACTTTCAAAACAACTGCTCCACAGAATGTCACTGCGTAACGCAAAAGAGTATCGAAGTATGACTGCACAATGAATGTCACAAAATCTACCTGAGCGGTCCCTTCGGGATTTTCTGCCTTTTACGTCATCCTAACCATTTCGTACTTGCGGGCGCAAACAATAGAAACGTCATCATTAGCTACCGATTCCTCGCGGCCCCAGTTCGAGCAAATCGAGATTTTTTCTAGCATACTGACTGTATATTTGAACTGTAAGTACTGTCCTATATACGCGCGAGTTACTAGGGTGCCTCCTCGGGATTTCGCCTCTGGGCAAAATCCCTGCGGGGGCAATAATAATAATAGTAATAATAAAAATGATGATGATGATGATGATGATAACTGCTAAACGCGGGTAAATTGCGGTACAAATTTCTCTAAAGAAGTTCACAAGTTTGAAATAAAAAAGGTTACGCAGCCAGCTTTTACAGTTGCGCTGCTTTCAATATTTAATAAACGATTATTAAATATGTACAGTAAATCTGATGATAAACCTAGTACATTTTAGCAAAACAAGTCAGAATCCAGAATCTCGGAAAAATGCACGATTTCGCGACCGCTTCGTTTGTACCCGGTTTTTAAAAAAGATAACGTATCTTTCGCCGAATCCACCGGGATGCATCCTCTAAATGTTTAAAAATGTGAAGCACCATAATCTTTGGCTTCTTACAATGCCACCATGTAACGGTGCAGTTCTGACCTGACCTTTACCGGAGCCATCATCATTTCTGGTATTCAGTGGGCTGTATTCAGTTTTGCTTGAAGAAATCGTCGGATGAACTTCGAGAACGGACCAGTCTAACTTCGTACCATTCTAAAGAAGAAATATTATCGGTAACTAGTCGTTTTCCTCCTCATCAGCTGAGAAAAACAAATCGTTACGTTCCAGGAAGGCGAGAAACCCGTCAGTCAGAGTTTTCCAAGCTTTACCTACGTAAAATGCTGGTGTCACAGATGAAGGTCTTACGTTCTAGCAAAACATTTCCAATACATTTTGCAAATACAATGTGTAACTTGCTTTCTTGCTGTTCTTAAATATACTTTATGTACAAGGTGTTACTCGAAGACGTTGCTCTGGGGTCCCTGTTGCGCTTTGACTGATATTTTTCAATGTGATCACGGGCAGCTGAATACTTCCCAAAACACCTAAAAGAGAACGAAATCCCCAATGTTCTTTAATAAGTTTATTTACACAGTGTTGCTTGAGGACGATGCTCTAGGGTCCCTGTGGCGGTTTGGCTGATAGCGGTGCTTTTCAATGACTTCTAGGAGCCACTCTCTTGTCACGGGCTGCTGAATACTTTTACAAACACCTAGAAGAGAAACAAATCCCCGCCATTCCGGGGTAGGTATTCAACAATTATAAGAAGCAGAGCCCGCTGGTATGAGAGAGCATTCGGTGTCCTGTACGTGGTTGATATACCGTAAAATTCCGAAAATAAGCCCCGGGGCTTATATTTTTCAAAGGCACTTTTTGAGGGGCTTATTTTTGGAGGGGCTATTCTATTCGGAGGGGCTAATCTACGGTGGGAAATTTGCGTTTCAAAATCGATTGGGATAGCCTTATAGTTGGAAGTAAATTTACCGTTTTTGCTTTGTTATACTTTGTATTTGAGGGCAATTTTCCAAGTACAAGCCCCCGGGGGGCTTATATTTGGAGGGGCGATTTAACGGAGGGTTCTTTGCGTTACAGGATTGGGGGGGGGGGTTATATTTGGAAGGGCTTATACATGGAGGGGCTTATTTTCGGAATTTTACGGTATGATGTAAACGGGAATTTACATTCAAAACTTGCAGGAATTTTTAGCAAATGATAAACAACAGGGGAAAATAAAATAATGGCCAAATTATTCGACTCATTATTTACATATCGATAAAAAGGAAAGCTGTCTTCGTTTAAGTTTGGCACTGAGGGTGCTAATTTCTATTTTTTTCGCAAAGGCTCTTGGAACGTTTTGGATGACTTCCTCTTTCCAGCCCCTTACAACAAAATGTAAGCCAAACGGCCCGGACTAAATAGTCACTCTATAAATCACAGGAGAATGGGTACAAGATTTCCACGCAAAGATTCCAGGGATCGTTTGAGTGAACAGAATAAGAAATGATTGGTTACTGGTTGCTTTTGGATACCACCAACCAATCAGAACTAATGCTTGCTCACCCAAACAATTCCAGAAATAGTTGCGCTGAAAGCTTGTACCCATTCTCCCCATACAGTATGAAAGTGGCGAATTTATCTCCGATTTCATAGCTAGTAGTCTCTGCTGATGTTGTTTTTATGTAAGTTGCTGTCTGCCTAATTAGCTTTAGTCTCTGTAGGGATCCTAGCAAAGGTTGGTTCTGCGAAAATTTTTAACGTAACAGACGTACTCATCGCTGTTTTGTAGCCGTTGGGAAAGCTTTTGTCTTCTCTCACTCTGAGGAATTTCCACTGTTTCGAAGTCGCATCCCAGGTACATTCAACAATTTTTTTGTTTAAGCTCTTCAGTTCCTTTGTTACCTTTAATAAAAACTTCAGCAAATTATTACGTTTTAACCATGCACAGAATATAATTTAAGTATTCATTTCAGTATTCAAATTTACACAGAAAATAAAGTAAAAGGAAGGATCTCTTTAAATATAAAGACAAGAGAAGCTGTTTTGCTCTTAACTGTTAAACCTGTGGGCGAGATCTTGTGGTGTGACCATTCAAACTTCCGAGTCTGTGGATGAAATCCTAAAGTGTTACAACTCAAATGAAAGCTACTGAGCAGTGATTTCTTGTGGTGCTGTTAATTATGCCGTATAATGTGGTTCTAACTTTTGAGAGTGTGGATGAAATCCTAAAGTGTGACCATTCAAATGAAGAACTGTGCAGTAATTTCCAGTGGTACTGATTATTATGCTTTACAAGGTGGTTCTAATTTTCGACTCTGTAGATAAAATCCCATAGTGAGCTGTTCAAATGAGACCACTTCGGCTATACTTTTGCGTGTCACATTTGCTTTTCCGTATTGCACGAACAGACCTTTTCACTGTGGTGTTCAACTTTTGACGTGGACAAGTTAGGAAAAATCCGTCGACACCAATGGAAAGAGCACCTAAATATTAGTAAAATTGCCAAGTTTGAAAGTGATTTGTTGAAAACTAACAAAGATATAGCTCCTTAAAGTCGCGAAATTTTGGTACAAATTTGCCCTACAACATACAAACGTCTGTAAATTTGCACAACTTTGCTGAGCTCTATCTTGGCTGGCTTGAGATGTATCACTTTTTCAAATTTGGCAATTTTACTAATTTTAAGTCGCTCGTTCCTGTGGTGTCGACAGATTTTCCCTAACTTGTCCATGTAAAAAGTTGAAAAAACCGTGGAGGGGTCTACTGTAAAAATCTCGAAGTGAAACCAACCTTGATGGAAGCAAAAGGTCTGTCATATCCACCAACCATGAGTGTGCCAACCAATTCGGGGATACAACTGGAATAAAAAAGGAGATATTCAGTCACAATTACACTACCAGGGTCAGAACTGATTGGCGGATCTATTTTCTGATCACATGACTGAATTCACCAATAGCCTGCAAGGAAGCTGTCCCAGGGCTCCCCCAGGGTCGAAGAACAGCGCTAGATATATACCTCGACGCTTCGCGCCTCGTTATTCCACCACTGTTCACCTCCCTTTCGGCGGATAGTTTATTATGTGTTGATTTAAAACATTTTTTGTGACCAGGTAGTTGTCCCTTACCCTTCCTGCTTGATTTTCCCTATGTTCAATATAAAGTCCACGGAGTTAAGCGTATGTGGTTTCCATTTCAACACTTCATGACTCTGCCCAGGACCATATGGCTAGAATGAATAAAACCAGAGTTAACAGTTGAGAATCTAATTTCCTTACTAAGTTGATGGCTGACAGTTAACTAGAATAACTTTCTCCCGGAATATAATGCTATGGATTGTGAACAACAAAACGGATGTTTTACCGTCTGTTTTACGAATTTTTTTCAAAAATACAAACCTCAGATAAATGCACGCCCAAAGTTGCCCAAAGTGCACTTCGGCAACAACGACGATATCGGGCGACTTCGGCGACTTGTATATCTCGACCTACAGCGATAACTTCGTCAACTACACTTCGGGTATTCACGGGTTAAAAAGAACTGTCCGAGTGCCTTGCAATAACAATTACCTGTGGAGATCGTCTTGTGTCGAAATACACCAACAGACCCTCAGGTTCAGTAAATATATTGTTTTGTCAGTTTCTTGTTAATGAAACAATTAACAGCAATTAACCAATAGACTACGAGCAACCCCTCTTCTTTCTAAGCGAAACGCGCAAGACAAGAAAATTATGACCACGCGCGTGTACTCCCCTCACTAAATCTGAAGAAAAAGAGAGAACGCTCGCAGTCTAATTAACTGAGGCGTAATTGTTTGTACCTCTTCCGCTGGATTAAATATTAGGCCATCGTTTTCGTGGCTGAGTTTTGGGCTCCAGGCGTCTAAAATCTGTAAAAAAAGAAAGATAAATTTAAGTAAAAGTAACAGACTAGATGGAGGTTGATGCGGATTTAAACGATACCTACGACTAAGATGACGATGTTCACGTGATACCGGGTTGCTTTGCGTGTAGGCACGAAAAGCTATCCGATACAGAATAAACACCCATCCGATATTTTAGGAGGCTTCTAGGAGGCAGTAATAATAATAATAATAATAATAATAATAATAATAATAATAATAATGAACTTTATCGAAGTCTAATGTGTTATAGCTCAGGCACAGTGCCTTACTAATTGGGGAGACTGTATCATATATATAAAACTCTAGTAATATATTGTAAATTCTAATTCTAATTAAATTAACTAAATTCTAGTTCTAATAAATAACTACCTAATAATACCTCTGAATCGTAAATTGATTAACTCTAAAAAAGAGTAAAATGGTGAGGCGAACTAATGCTAACTGTTGCAAAGGACACAGTCGTTACACGAGTCATCTATTAACGAGGCAATGTCTGTCTTTCTGATGCCTTTTTTAAAGTTACTGAGTGTAGGTGCTGATCTTAGCTCCCAGTTAAATTTTGGACCAAAGAAGTGGCCCAAAATGCCTGAGAGAGTGTTTGCCGTATTCTGTAGTGTTGAAACATTCCTGTCTGAAGTCTGCGTTTCTGAGGTTATAGTTTGTGTGACTAATGTTAAATAGTTCGGTTACTGAGCTTGGCAACATGCCGTGCTTTATTTTGAACATGAAATGGTGGTTATATCCTGAAGCCTTCGATTATAAAGTGTTGTCATTTTTGTTCTGCTCAGGAGGTCATCGTGAGCTCGGCAGCTTGGCTGAGTGGTTAGAGCGCTGGATTTGCCATTCAGAGGCCCCGAGTTCAAGTCCCGCCCTGACCGCTAGCTGGATTTGCTCGTGGTAGTCCCGAGTTCAAATCCTGGGCCATGCTTGTAAATAGCCAGCTGGTCTGTCTCTGGCCAGTTGGGATCTTAACCCTGTTATGTTTGATTATATTTGAATTATTTGTTTCACGCATTTGCTCGGCCCAACTAGTATTAGTGCTATAAATACTGCCGAAGGTAAATAACGGAATTATCATTTTATTTTATTTTTTTTGTCGTGACGACGATGGTCAGATACTGGTGACGACGATTATGACGATGACGTCGACGAAGATAATAATGACGATGATGCAAACCTGGTAACGTGAATTCAGTAGTAACAGATTTTTCTTCCACAACTCACAACGGAAAACGACACAAGATCCAAAGAGGGGCCGGGCTTAACAATTGCTATTTCACGCAATTCCTATAAATTTTAGCTCTCAAAAAACAGCCATTTGACATTCACACTGTCCAATCTTTTAAGTATGCAAAATCGGGATAATTTTTTAATGGCCGAGGAATCACGCGACCGCCGAATGCGCGAGCCGCTAGGGAGTTCTGAGGGTATTCTCTGCCTGAAAATTTTGAAATCCTGATGTTCTGAACCGTCATTTCTGGTGTTCTGAGAGGATAATTCCTTATGTGTAAAATGTATACTCTGTTATTTGTTAATTTCTTGTATCATAAGAATTCCTTTAAAAATATAAGAACATGTCAAAATGAGGATGTTTCCTTTCCCGATCGCATATGGGTAGGGATTCGGGATTTTTAAGCAAAATGGGGAGAATCCCGACAAGATAGGGATGGTTGGATAGTCTGGACGTTCAATTCTGTCCTTACCCATTCGGCCTTCTCCACTTGAAAAAACTTTTTCGCTCTTATGCTGAAAGGCTCCTTTGACTTGTCAAAGAGTCCTTGCTGTGCCTAAATTGGAAAAAAAGTTACATCATTCTCATGTGGGAGTCAAAACAGGGGATAAGAGCTCATTTCCGAGTTACCTCCTTGATCAGAGCGTCGTTTGGTACACAACTAATCATGTACAAAATGAGCTTTCAAAATCTGCGTGTGAGCGAAAACATATATTCAGATGAGACGATGAGCAGGAAAACTCGCTTTAAACGAGAGGCGTAGGGCAAATCTGAGCCTACTAACCTGGCCAATGGGAATACGCATAGACGTCAAATAAGCCAATCAGATATTAAAAACTGTATCCGTAGCCGGCCGACCGAGAAAAGCGCGCGAAAGCGCACGCGATAACTCAGATTTGTTTTACCACCGAATTGTTGAGAAAGTGGCGGGAGATTTTCCGGTCAATAGACCTTATACACGATACCCGCCATCTTTGCACGCGTAAGGACTGATGAGATAAAAGCAATGTCACGTGGTTTCTCCGGGGCAAGAAAGTGATAAAAGATGCCAATGCAAGAAATCACGGGCGAGTTTGTTTATTCTAGAAAACAGAATATGAAATTTTTACCTTAGTACTTTCATGCTAAATACATTGACAATTTTTAAAAAGAACAGAGCAGTTTTTTACGAAGCCACTTGATCTAAGACAAGAGAGCATAAAGTCAACTATGTTTTGTCGCGAGTTTCAAATCTTCCTTGAAAAACACACGACATAAAAAAAAACACTTACCCCTATACTTCGAGCCATCTCGATCTCTTTTTCAATACACACCATTCGTATGTCGTGATTCTGCTTGCCAACCTCTTGGCCCTGTGATACAAAGTAAAAACAACTGCTCTTTCAGCACAGTAAATTCTCTATTAAGCCCCGGGTAGGCTTGTCTCTTTCAAGCACGTTTGAAAGTGGGGCTTTATGGAGGATTTACGGTACTTTAAGTCTTGTATGGAAAAGGTTGTGTTTTTATTGCCAATGGGTGCACACTCTAACAAAGTAACAAAAGTCATCAACTCTGAATTCAGCAAACTTGTTGCAGTTCACTGAGATTTTAAGTCACTGAATTGCAAGCTACGGAAACTTCAGCAGTACTTTCACATGGTACCATTTATTTAGCATGTAGTTTTAACTTTTGAGTCTGTGGATGAAATTCTATGGTGTTACCATTCAAATATATGAAACCTCTTCAGCAGTACTTTCCAACGACACTATTTGTTCAGTCTTTACATCACAAAGTGAAATTAACTGTAAATTAAGAAAAATGACACCTACTTGAAATTGGATGATGTCATAGGCAAGGTAACGGGGGTGGATCTTTTCATTTTCTTTGTCAAGAACCATTTCCTGGGAAATCAAATATTAAAAGCGATTTAGTAACAACTCAGTCGACACAAAGCAAAAGCTCCCCATAAGTATTCCGGGATGTGCTCCTTCAGAAACATTCACTGCACATTCAAGGAAAGAATGTACCTTAATCTAATCCAGTCATATGATTTGTTATGTGATCAGATGTTGACTCAGAAGATTTGTACCTTTGTCTTGTTGGAAACAAAGAGTGCATGGTAGTAAAATAAATTCTGATTTAGAGGCAGATTGATGCCTTGAGTATAAGTACATAATCTTAATTTGTGCAACAAAACAATCAAAACGAATAAGGTCTATTACACTTTTTTAGCAATTTTGTCATCAACCCGCCTCCAACACCGTCCCTGCCCAAAACATGTATCTTATTTTTCCAATATGGCAAGTAAATATGTTATGTTTAGAAAATGAGCAAGATTATTTTATTTTAAGACACAAGGTGTAGTTCATGGTCTGAACAGCTCAATATTAAATCTGTCCATTCTGATATTTTTTTTTCAACAGACAGGAAGGACTTACCCCATCTAGCAAAGTGTCAAAGACGTGTTCTCTTGGGAATTTGCGCTGTGGGAAATGAAACTGTGGTGCAGCAAAAACGTTGTTGTCTCTGTCGATAAGGTATATTTCTTTCTCTTTTAAAATAAGCATCATGTATCTAGAAAAAAAAAGGAGGTCAGCAGAAATGAATTGCTCTGAGCATGGGAGCATAATATTAAAAAAGTTACCCGCAAACAAGCTCTTTTGGAAATTGTGAGAGTCATAAGTCACCTACGGGCAACCTGCTAAAGACTAGGGTGGGGATCTTTCAGCCTGTGCTCACGAATGACCATTTCACCTCTCACAATTTTCTTGTGTAAGCTTACTCACACACTCACAAAAATTCAACGTTCCTTAAAGAATGTGAAACAAAAACAAACCACAAACCAATCAAAGTCCCCTTCCATTGGAAACTAAAATTTGAAAATTTAGCAACAAAATGCATATTTTCCAGACATGCACACACAGTCTGTTCTCCATACATTACTTATGGCAGTGATGAGGAGAAATAAAACAGTGTCTTTAATGATCACTTTAGGAATTCTCAAGTTATAAGTTTGATTAACAAGTAGTACTATAATGAGAAATTAAACACTAGTCACATGAAAGAGCTTGAAACCCACCTCACTCCATCTGCTTTCCAACTAACTCTGTAAGGTTTCTCATGGAGTAGTTTTATGTTCTGTACATCCATTGACACAGGCTGGCTTCCAGGGAACCCACCACTATTAGAGAAATGAGCAATTATGGCATCCATGGTTACCATAAAATCAGGTTACAGGCCTACCAGCTCAGTATAGCTGGTTACAAGGAGAAATCACAGATTTATAAGAGCCCATTTGACATTGCACATCGGAGAGATTCTAAGTCAGATTTTATGCAACACAAGGAAAAAGTAAATTTCAGGTTGACAATTTCCAAAGTTAGAAAATAAACAAATACAACTGGTAAACATAATTTTTACAGATGAACCTGACATGAAAATACTCACTTTTGTGAAGCAATAAGAAAAAAAATGATGGGTCAAGGTAGAGCTTAAAATTAATTGGTACAAATTGGCATTTGCATTTGCCATAAAAAGAATGAAAATCTCTTTATGACCAGCTAATTTACAAAGTATCATTTTTCCATAAAGACAAATAAATGTGTGGATGACAGCTGTGAAGTACAGGCACCAATGCCAAGAGGAAGGAAAGTGCTTTTTTAACGCATCATAAAAGATGTCTGAAACACAGTCCTCAAAATTTCAAGTCACAGATGCCCTTGAAGGTTCTTCCACAGCAGCTGACTGTTCAGTCTTTATGTAGCCTGCGAGGCAAGCATTTCTCGTTTTCTCCTAGCTCTATAGTCAGCGTCACTTGCTTCTAGATTGATATTCGCAAAATAATTCTTTTTCCAGGTGAATAAATCTTTGGTGTGATTATTATATCATTCAAAAGCCTTGCCTGAAATTTAAATAAGCAAATACATACCTTTCCCAGCCACACATCTTCTGGCAGAGTTCCTGGATTTCTTCTCTTCTGGGTGACTTTACAACCCCTATTCCATCTATCTCATCCATAAACTTTGCTTCCTATTCACCAGAAAAAAAAAAAATTGGAACAACGAATACCTGTAATAGCTTTCCAGAGAGAGTACATGTTTACAAATTATTTTTCTTATACCTGTTGTGCACTTGTGAGTGAATCGGCTTACTATGTTATATACAGCTATTTCGTGAAAGGTCGTTGGAAAAAGTGCACATGACAATCCTGAAAGGTATTGTGGATGGTTTTTAGTTCACTGTTTTTCAAAGAAATTTGAGATAATGGCAAGAGAGGCCATGGACTTATGTTTGCAAATGCTAAAGGAAAGCAACAAAAGTTGGTTCGACAGCTACAGTGTCAGGAACAGTGTATTGATTATATCCCATAATACCTTTCGGGATTGTCGCGTGCACAGTTATTCTGACAACCTTTCTCGAAATAACTGTAAGCATAAATTGAAACATGTTCTGTCAAAGAAATTAATTAAGTGTGACTTCTTGCATGGAAAAAAGATTTTGGATGCACAAGGTGATGCCTATCTATCTGATGCATCAAAATACGCTTCACCTTCATGTCATATAGCACACCGATGACTAGCGTTGAAGAGAAAATGAAGCATGACTTCTAGTGAAATAATTTTTTCTGAAACAACCAGTCAGGCTTATTTTCTTGACGTAACAGGTCACACTTCACCTTCAAGGTCAGAACACACTAGGTGACAAGTTGCAGCAACAAGTCATGGCGACAGATCACTACGTGTGTACAGGTGGGATGACTAGTTGCAGCAACATGTTGCAGCGATACATCGCAGCGACAAATCACTTCATGTGTAACAGAGAATTTTTGTGAAAATCTTTGTCTCTGCAGCAAAATTTTATTGCCATAACAAGTTGCACAAATTCTGTCTGATTTGATTTTTTGCAACATGTTGCCACGACAAAAGACTGTTAGAGAGACAAAGATTTTCAAAAAAATTCTCCAGTACACTCGAAGCAACCTGTCACCATGTGCGTACAGACCTTCATGCTATGTAGCACACCAAAGACCACAAATACCCCTTTTTTGCAAAATTTCCTTTGACTGAAAAAAATAACTTCTCCTTGATAAATGGCAAGCAATGACTAGAGCATAATAAAGTCTCCCTGTTTGCGAACTGAATCATACAGTATTTTGTATCTGGCCCTAAATGCTTTCGTTACTTGTGAACAGTACATGTAAAAACACAACATGACGGCATGGTGTTACAGTTTCTACAGAAACTGCAAACACAATAATGTTAAATGACAAGGCATTGTAGAAATCTTGGCATAACAGAGAACACCCCTTTGACTTGTGCGCCCTCTTCACCTTTAACCTGGGATCTCTCCGTATTCGTTTCCTACTCCCATCTGGGCGGCTGCCATCCTCTGTCATCTCTCCATTCTGTTCTTCATTATCACTGCCTTCTTCTTCTTCTATGCACCAATCAGGCAGTTCAGGAGGTGCGATGGTCTCTGCCGGGTCACCATAGCGACTGACAAGCTCTTTCAGGTAATCAGCTTTGTAAATACCTGGTGGACGACACTAAAGAAACATAGGGTAGGCTTAGCATCACTGTGCAATTACAACAAAATTTTAGTTCTTACATCAAAGTATTGCATAGAACTGGGAAATGGTAGATAAAGAGCCACTGTTTGTGTGTGCGCTTATAATTTATTCATCGATATTATCATGATTAACTAGTGACATGTTAAGAAGATATTACAGACATACTCTGATATTGATTGCTCTGGCTCAATAGGTCACAAGAACTAAACACAAACCTGTGCAAAGCACTGAACTGCTGCATCAACACTGTGAAGAAAAAAAAAACAAAGCTTAATACACAAAATGCCCAACAATACACATTTTTCAGTGTGATCTGCACCTTTTCTAGTCCTCTGCAGTGGAACATCGATTTAAGTGCCAATGGACTGGAGAAATTTGTTCGTTATATCCGATACCTCGATTTATCGTTGTTAGTCTGTTTAGTATTTACCTTTAATCTGCAGATGCTGACATTTTTTATTCGTTATATTAAGGTATATTTTACAATTTGCGCAAGTAGATTGTGTTTGTTAAGATGAGGATTTTGCTAAATCAAGGTTCTGTTCCATACATTTTACTGTAATTCTGGCCGGGTTGAAGAAAATTGTTTCTTATACTGAGGACTTCAATATATAGACGTTTGTTAAATCGAGGTTCCACTGTACTTTCTTTGGTCTCTATAGCCTGTAGCTCTAGTTCTTATTAATTAGACTTAGGGGTTTGGTTAATTATCCCTTTCACTATTGTTTTGTAAAACCAGTGCAAACATAACAAACTTCTGGTAAAGTCTGCCTGCAAAACAGTGCCAGAAAGAAGGATATCAGTGCTGCTTCGCAGACATTACTAACTGGGGTTTAGTTATATCTGTAATGCAGTCAATACATGTAGCACTTTGCCAAAATACACCAAATAAATTAATGTGTCCTTATTCAGGTTAATTTTGAAGTAGGATCGTGGTAATCATCCCTGGCAGAACCATGAACAAGTTTGGACTCCCTTAAAAGTAAATTCACTGATCTGACCCCATTAAACCAAAAACATCACTAACCTCCAGTCATCTTTCTCCACAAGATAAGCTATGATAAGGAAACCAGTCCTGTTGAATCCATGAGTGCAGTGGACACCTGATGTAAAAAAAATATAATTATTTTTATCTCAGCTGGTATGCACTTTGGGATTTGTCATTCTGAAGGGATACATGTATAATAACAAAATCAGAAATGCCAACCTTCCACACTTGCAGCCAATGGTTGAATTGCAGAGGAACCAGAGAGATGAGACCGGACATAAGCATGTAAAGGTGCACTACGCAGCTGCTTCAGTCCATGTTTGATCTCACCTCATCCACCCAGGCCATTGACGGCACAAGTCAGATGGACCATGCCACTGGGGCCTACATTCCCTACTCTTTACATTTTTATTCACACAGTGTCACAGGTTCTTTTAACATCCCCTTCCAGCTGATGTGCAAGGATGAAGGAGACAAGGCCAATGGCTTATTGTTACCGCCCAATGACATGAACATCTGAACTGGGAAAGGGTTTAGACCACAGCTGGCATGATCTCACCAGTGTTTTAAAGACCTTGGTTAGTGGTCTGGCTGGAGTTTGAACTCAGAACCTCCCGCACGGCAGACAAGCAATCTTCCAACTTTGATTTCTGGGCAGTAGATGCTGCAGTGCCAAGCCAGTTGAATTTCAATAAAATTACAGTGGTTGGGATAAACCTACGGTCACATTCTAAACATCTGAGTGGTGATAATGACGGTGATGACGATTGTGTAGCTCACAGCTACATTCCGTTTACAGGGCGACCACATGAACCGAGGCAACCCAGACAAAAAAGGAAACAAATCTTGAAATTAGCCAATCACAAGTTGAGATCTAAACAATGAAATTGCGCATAATTTTGTACTCAGAGCAAGTTCAAAATACCTTGCAAACCATTTTTCCAAAGGATATAAGGGGTGGCGAATGGTACCTCGAAAAACGTGGGTCTCGGAAAAGTCTGGCAGGATCTCGAAATCTCGGAAGCGTTTTTGATAAGTCTCGAAGTCTCGTTTTTTCATGGTTTGTTTTTACTTTTTTTGAGCCTTAAAACTTTTCACCAAAGAGTCTCAGGCTCGGATTTCTAACTAGGATCTCGGCGTCTCGGCGAGTCTCGGATTTTACCATTCGCCACCCCTGATATATGTATTACAATAACATATATATTACAGGTCAAAATTAAATTCAGGTTAAGATTTTTTAACCTAGGTTGATTCTGAATTTCCTTTGTCAGGGCTTCTGATATTTCGCGCGGTCGTGGACCCGCGAAATTCAGGCTTTTCCGCGAAATCCCACGAAATTCCCCAAAAAACGCGAAATACCGCGAAATCCACTAGAAAGATTTCCAAATACATGTAGGCAAAACATATGTAATACTTATCTTGGCTATTAGACCTGTTTTATTCACCCCAAACGTCCAAATTTATCTTGAAACGTCGTCACTGCAACGAGTAAACAACGTCCCAAAACCACCAGGCGTTCTTAGATTAATGTTGCGAAAAACTGGGCACTAACCATAATTTTAACAGCTTTAGCATTTGCTCATCTCTCAAGCGAACTGTTGTTGAAAGAGCAAATGATTATCCCTGTTAAAAAAAAACGTTAAACAACGCTGGTCATATCGACGCAAAATTGATAGATTTTAGCGAAATTTACCAAACAAAATCCAGCGAAATCGGCTGTTTTTTACTGATTGTTTCTTGGCGAAGTTTCCCCCCGAAATTTCCCGTGACATCGGCCGATTTTTCTAAGAATTTGTCCCTGAAAATCCTTCGAAATTTGACTTTTTTCCGGTAAAATCCCACGAAATCGGCCGATTTTTCTGCGAATTTTGACTTTTCTCCCGCGAAATCAGCCGATTTTTCAACAAATTTTCACTTTTTTCCCGCGAAATCAGCCGATTTTTCCGTGAATTTGCCCCTGAAAATCCCGCGAAATTTTGCTTTTTTTCCGCGAAATATCAGAAGCCCTGCTTTGTCTCCTACTTGAACTCCTAATCCAATATTATTCGTGGATTAGGGCTAGGAGACAAAGGAAATTTTAACCTGAATTTAATTTTGAACTGTAACATAATCATGATGGCAGAATCAAAGCCAGCAGTAAAGAAATTTTGAACAATCCGCACTAAAGGCGATGGCCCCTCACAAAAGATGGTTTTTATTATTTGAAGGAATTTTGGGTTTTTCTGTTCCGTCAATCTTCTTAGCAGACCTCCTAGGAAACACATGTTTACTTCAGTGAACAAGTTCAAAAGGTCATGGTTTGTGATTGGTGGATTTCAATCCATTTTGTTTGTTTCTGCATTTCACTAGCGTCATTGCTTGTGATTGCAGTTAGGGCAATCATTGACTTGTTTGCTTTGAAGATTTTTTCTGATCTTTCTTATTCATGCCAAGAATCAATGTCTGCCCTCTTCCCTCCACAAAAATTCCACTAACCATGGCGATTTTCTTCACTATTCTTGAACAGTCTAGATTCATTCTCAGTTTTCTTTTTGTTGGGCAAGCTGGGTGAGTGCATATTGTAATTTGCATTACATGTAACCAGCCCCATATCTTTGTTGCTAATGCTCTCAAATTGCCGACACTGCCATTCACTCGCTGAGTGCTATTTGCTGTGAAATGAACGGCCATTGCCTTTAGTTTGAATTGTTCAAAATTTCTTTACTGCCGACTTTGATTCCAGCAAAACCAGACATTGTCAAAACATTTTCAGTTTGATTTACACAAATGTCACAATTCCTTATTTTTTATATCCTTTAGAAAAACGGTTTGCAATGTATTTTGAACTGACTCTGAGTACAATTATGCACAATCTAATTGTTTAGATCTTGACTTGTGATTGGGTAATTCAAAATATTTCTCTCAAATTTTTGTCTGGGTGGCCTCGGTTCGTGTAGTTGCACTGTAACCCCTCCTAGGGAACAAAAACGTTGGTTATTGTAAGCGCAAGCAGTAAAGGGAAATCTTGTGTTTTTCCTGTTTGTCTGTATTTCTTTCCAGATTTTTCAAAATAACAATCGAGCATTTTTTCAATGATTTTTAATTTGGCTACGTGTGACAGTGAATTGACTCACAGTTACATGTGTATCATAGCCCTGGTCATGTGGTATCTCTGTGAAGGTGGTATACCTGTGACTGTGGTATTCATGTGGCAGTAGCACCCCTTTGGTTATAGACTCTACTCTTACTAAAACTTTCCACATGATCACATACCTATAAGTCCTCCTGGATTTTGGTTGAAATATCTATCACACATACTGATGAAAAGAGCCACCTGTTCTCTTGTTGGAGTTTCTCCATGTCTGCAGTAAAGACCACAGAGAAGTAACAGCCATTAATATAAAGTACATCAAAGTAAAAAAGTAATTGTGGCCATGAACAGTGACCTCAACATAAACTTTCTAACTGTTGGCTCTTAAGTGGATGTTTGACAAAGCCATATTCAACATTTTTGCAGAACATAGAACATAATACTTTGGTCACAAACTCATTTACATGACATTAGGATCACATTTGCAGGGGATTTTTTCAATTCAAATAACCAGAGACAATAATTATTAATCCTGAGGTTCACTTATTGCCTAAAACTAGTCTGCTAGACATTGTTTTCCTCCCATGGCCAAAGGCAACTAGTTTGAATAATGTCAAATTTCTGAAAAAAAAAAATATATTTTGTTCATCAAAAATGTATGTAACCTAGCATGATTATCATTTGTTCATTGTTTGCTCCTTTTACTTTTGTAGTAATAGATCAAACATTTGCCTGTGACATATGACTGAATTAATATATTAAATAATTTTGAAAAAAGTCTGGCCATTATATTTCATTTTGCTACAGATAAATGCTGGAAATTCCCCAGATATTAGGGGTTTTAATTTTGAAAATTTTCTGAGGAAAGCTTGACCCCAAACATCTTATTTTCTACGGACTGTTGAAAATTTTGCAGAACACTCTGTTGAAATTTTTGGCTACTTCAGTTTTTACTGAAACCCCTGCATTTGGGAGTAGAACACAGAAAAAAGAGCGTTCTTTTGTTTAATGTCTTGTGAAATTAATAATTCTATATTTTCAGCTTCTTGTGGATTCATGTGAGCAGTAAACTGCTGGAGAAATGACAAACATAGTACAAATATTATACCAACCCCTTGCAATTCATCTTGACATGTTTGATTCCTGTCCTTTCCACCTCTGTTTTATCGTAGAAGCGTGTCGTATTTGTCAAGTCAATAATCAATCCTAACTTCACCTAAAAGAAAATAAAAAAATCATCCTGTTTAATAGTCATCATCAATTTTGTTTTCTTTTCTTTGCAGAAATGAGTAAAAATAACTGCTCAAAAGGTGTCTTCTCACTGGTCACAGAAAACAATAACATAAGATAGTTCATCGTTATTTCAGAATCCATTGAGTTATGGTTAGAGTGACAAAACTTGGCTTTTAGCGTTAGGAGAGCTGCTATGTGACCCCAGATTAAAGCCCTCTAACCCCTTATAGCTTAGTTTTTAAAAGTATGGTTAAAAATTGGCCAAAAAAATTTGATCTACTCTCACCTTTAATGAATTAAGGTATGCGAACAACATTGGCAGCTGAAATCGATTTGCCTCAGGAATGTTAGCATCATAACGAGGTCCCAGTGGTGTTTTGAAGGCAAGAAATTTGTCTGAACAAAAAAAAGTCAAAAATCTGTCTGTTTATTATATCACATATGAAGGGGGAAGCATTCTCTTATGTATAAGTCAGGCAATAATTGCCATCAAAAAAACCTGCATTAGACTCGATTGGTTAACCCTTTAAACCCTAAGATCAAAATTTGAATTCTCATTTGTTGCCCCTATTCATTTCGTACAGAAGTAGTGGGGAGAAGTTGATAATATATCAAGCAAATTCATCTTGTGTGATCATGTTCGTAATTCTCATGACCCTCTGTTTTACAAAGCATTGATATTACAAGGAGAAATTTGATGCTGATCGCTCTTAGGGCTTAAAGGGTTAAACCCCTGTACAGTGTTACTCACTAAATGACAAAAAGTTAGGGATCGGGTTATGCAGGTTGATCCAATGCCGTCTAATTCAGGTTTTGTCCATGGTCTTATCATGCAGCCACTTCAATACACGCTGTATATCATAAGTAGCCCTGAGACCCACGAGCTAAATATTAAAAATACTAGATGAATTTTTTGGGAAATGCTCCACAGATAAATAAACCATCAACAGTTTGTAATAAATTTAATAATTTTAATTCAAATCAGAACAGAGTCCACTAATCCTCTCTTCTTTAAATTTTCTTTTTTTATGACATATTTTAGTACTCTTTGCTGTCATCTGACCTTCTGTTGTCTGCCTTACAACAAACATCAGAAATACAACCAGCATCCAACTTATTTCAAGCATCTCTTCTGCATAGGGTTGTCAGCGAATTCATTTTTCATTTTGAGCACAACTATTGTTTACTAGGTTATTACTGATTGAAAATAAAAAAATTGTTTGAATGCCTGCGCTGGTGGAATAGTCGTTTACAGGTATGGGTTATCCTGTGTCAAACGCTTTAGAATGTTTTTCCGGCCTTTGATATATAGCATCAATATGTCTGTAGCTCGATGTTAACAAAGGTGTTAAGAAGGTTTAACTCTGGCGTAAAAAACTTCTGTAACATGAATGAATTACTACTACAATAAGCCGAAAAAAAGTGCTGTTTCAAGTTAAAGACAGGACAGGACTTAACTACAGTTGGCAGCCTATACTTTCCTGAAAAAGATGATCCAGGAAATAAGGGGTACTTTTATTCTTCGGCAAATTTGTGGCCAAATTACTGAAAACTATAGAGAAAAAGATGAAAAAACAAACCGAAAGTGCGAGCAGAGTTGTGCGCAAGTTTGATTCCTGTGAACCTCGAGCAATAGGCTTGGCGAAAGACATGATGATTTTTTGCTTGAGAATTGCGTGATGAATCTCGCACATGTACGATAGAGAATTGAATGGTTGTTCGCAGAGGCTACTTTTCGCATGCCAGCTCATACCACACAAAAGTAGCCTCTGCTCCCAGGGTAGCTTAATAGAGGATTTACGGTATAAGACAGACGTAAAAAAGGATGTAAAAGAATAAAATTTAGAGAACAAGTAAAGGCATATATTTTAGTGGCTTGGCAGCTCAGTGGCTGTTCAGTCAAGGTTATACGGTTTAGTGGCTCGACCGCTCGGTATAAACCTCGAAAATTTACCCTGTATTCTGTAGTTAAGCCCAGTGCTGTACGTAAATGTAACATAGCCTAGCCTTGGCTTAATATTAAGTTCAACCATTAAAACATTATAATAATAAAATTAAGCTAAATGCGTTTTAAGCTGATGTTTTTAAACTGACTAACTGACTAGTTCCGTGGCATCATTTAAAACTTGGCTAAAAGTTAAAATCGTTGTTCGTAAAGTTGAATGATAAATGAATGAGTAAATGAGTTTTTATTTGTATGATGAACCTCTTCGACTCTACTTGCATTATACAATATGCTGAGTCTTAAAGACCTACAATCTGTACAGCTGTGGCTGCATTTTTGTGGTCGAGGTTACATGAACAGAGCTTACCGGCGATTATCTTGCTTTTTCTGGGACAATTAAGCCAGCGAGGTGGTACAGACATCTTAGACAGGATTTTTTTCTCATCTACGGTAGTTGCAGTAGAGTTTTCTTGAAATCAATGAGGGAAAAGCCCATTTTTTCTATGAAACGTTATCGGCTTCCTTCCTGCATTCGGCAGCCATGTTTATTACCTCGTTCTGATGCACAGCGACCCCTCACCGTTCCCCCCGCCGAGACTGAATACCATATAGTCGTCTACCACATAACCCCTTCTTCAGCCACCGCGAATACTACAGCTACTACATTATACACTGTAGCTACTATGGCTATTAATATAATGCTATACTCTGGTATTCAGAGGCTTTGTCTACTTACAAGAGCTATGGGCTCATGTATGGTAAACAATATTATTGTATGGCTTCAGCCATGAAGTACATATCTGATCAGGTCCTGGTTATTCGGTCAGTCAAATCTCTATCCAGTTGTATTTCCCTAAAAAGATACTCATTTGCTGTATCTTTGCACACAACAACCAAGGAAAAAATGACTGAAATATGGGCGGTTGCAATTTCCCTCTACTAACCAGCCTCAGGGCTGTCAACCCCCTATGACTTCAAATATTGAGAGATTGATGGTGAAGGGATTATAAATGACGTCATTTGTGAAAAAAAAAACACGCAAAAAAGAAGTTGTTGGAATAGTAACATTTGACCTAATTGGTTTACTTCCCACCAATCACAGTATTGCTTATATTACAATGGCATACCGGAGTTTGTGAGGAAACGTTCGATGTTAACAGTAAAATAGCTGAAACGACGCAAAGTAGGAAGTCCATTCTACAAGAAGTGGCAAACTTTGGCAGTTATCCGGGAGATTTCAGACTCTAACCTGGAGACCGGGAGAAATGGTTCAAAATCTGGAGTCTCCCGGATAATCCGGGAGAGTTGACAGCGCTGCAGCCTTGTAGTGACCTTCTTAGGGCTGTCATCACTTGTACCTTCCTCATGAAGAAAGGAACGTGTGAAAAACACCTGAATGGGAGGCAGAGGAAAAATGACTCTGTAGACAAAGAATGTCTTTTACATGCCTTAACTTCTTCACAAGATATTTCTATTTCAACACATTTAATTTAAAGGAGTCACTCAAACGTCAAGTTAACCCCGGAATTTATTACTGGCAATGATTTTGTTTTCCATCATCAATAACCAAAAAACATCTCTGAATAACCATAGTTTATTAACAAGTAAACATTTAACACATTAGTGTTGACAAAATATTAAGCATGAGACACATTTAGGTATTAAGTTTTATTAAAATGCTAGGAGCTTCCATCCATAGATAAAAAGCTATCAAAAATTATAAGGAAAAAATCTGAGCTTAGAGTTTACCAAGCTTCAGATTGAAAAAAAGGATTCAATTGTTATTGATTTAATTACTAGTTTAAAGACTATCTTTTTCTCAGATGTTTTACAACCTGTTTTAAACTATTAGAATTTGAATAAGTAAGGTTTTGAAAAGACAAAGTGATCTTAAGATCGATTTGGTTTTTTTGGTCCGCACTGGTGGCACATGGCAAAGTCCTGCGATATAATCATATTTCAAAGAGAAAAATAACCTTAAATAATATCCTTACAGTAGCTACATATAATGCTATGGAATGCCTCAAAAGTCAATAAATCTCTACACATTAGAGGTCTTTGGAGTAAGAACCACACCTCAGACATAAATCAAGTGCCCCAAGGGAAAAAAGCTGTACAACTGTAGTTACTTCAGAATATTTTCAATAACTGAAAAATAAACTATTTTGATACACCTGATTTACTAGGTACTTTTATGGCTCAATTTTATTATTTATTGATTTTAAATTTTGTTTTCCCTTGTTTCAGACTCATTATTGTTATTTACCATATCCCACAACAAAGGGATCCAAATTAAAACCAAAGATAAAATTAAGCCATAAAAGCATACACTTTGTAAAGAACCTTAAATTAAATAGTTCAAGTATATATTTTGCATGACTGCAAACTACGTATCCACCTCCACATATAGCATACCTAAAAGATGCATACAATAATATTAAATGCATATAATATGTAGACCTGTTTATCACTCTCAGAGCTTCAAGATGGAAGTGGTACACAAGCAAGGAATGATTGTATATCCAGGTTTCCATCTTTTTCAGGTATTAACTGCTTGAAAGTCACAGTATACTCTGTGTAGTATTTAGGAGCTATTCACATGATACCGGAATGACTTTCATTCTGGAACGAGTTCATTCCATCTCCATTTATTTCTCTTTTTGTTTACATGATACCGAAACAACATTTTCTTCTGGTACAAGTCATTCCGGAATGAGTTCATTCTGGTTCTCACTCTGAATGAAATTTTTGCTCTTGTAAAAATTAAATTCTGGTATCATATAAAGTGAAAATGAACTTTCTTCCGGCTTGAAAATTGCAAATCGTATAGTCTAGAGTGAGTGGTGTACGTGTATCTGATCTGGCGCAAAAAACCACACACGCAATAATGCCTTGGTTTGAGCTGTTTGATTTTATCATGTGAAAACAGCATGAACTTCACTCTGAAACGAAACTCATTCCAGAATGAAAGTCATTCCAGTACCATGTAAACAACCCCTCAGTCTTGAGAAGTCCTGCTTTGAGTAGAAATGTCTATATAGCTGCATTGACAGCTACCTTTTCTTTCTGCTGTGCACTTAACATCCAGCCCTTCACCACAGGAACCAACAGGCCACCCAGCAAAATTTGCACAGGGTGATAAATCAGCAGAGGAATTGAGATCAATGAAAGATAATTGTAGCCCGCAAAAACAATTTTTAGCATGGGAATACCTAAAGTCAAAGATTTGTGTGTCGAAGCAAACATGATAGCAACTGCGTCCGCTGGGGTGAATGTTGATTCTTTCATGGTTGCCAAGGAAAACGTGAGGGCCAATAAACAACATTGTAATAAGACAATAATGACAATAACAGATAATAAATCTGTTGAATCAATGTCTCCAGTTTTCTGAGAAAATGTGTCACAAAATGTTGTGTAGATTATCAACAGTAAAACACAGCTACTGATAGTTCCAAATGGAGGTTTTGTCTCTTCCATCCAGTCCTTTATGTACCTCCTTAAAAACTGCCCCACTAACAGAGGACATACCACGGTCATGGATAACTGGGCTACGATCAAAAGAAATGGAACTCCTGAAGACGATCCTAGAAACACGAGCAGTAGAAAAGGGGTGACGAATATTCCGAGGAAACTTCCGAACGCGGAGTTGAAGATAGCTGCCGCTTCATTTCCACCAACAGCCTTTGTAAGTATCACGGCTGATGAGACCGGAGGAGGCATACATCCCACCACCAATAGTCCTTTCAGTAGCCATTCATTCAAGCTCGTAAACTGCAAGATCCTCACTATTAGTGACATCAAACCAGGGACAAAGACCAGCGTAAAACTCTGAACAAATACATGCAATCGCACATTGCTGAGGGCACTTTTTAACTCTTCTGTCTTCAATGACAAACCACTGTTCAAAAAGATAGTTGACACAGCCACGTACTTGACAGTAATTTCGGGCTTTAAAATCCCACCTTTAGCGCCAATGAACGGTGCAATTTTAGCTAAGCTAATCACCACAACGATTCCAATTAAAAACCAGTTCTTTTGCAGCCTAGCGAGCATATTTACTGTGATATTGCGGCTCACAACAATGTTCTACCGGCATCCGCCATTTTGAACAAATTTATGCAATGCCACGGACAATGCCACGTGCAACAGATACGTCATACATTCTCGGGGGTGGGGAACATTGGGAATGCGGTCGGGTGGCAACCAGAGAAGCCTGCACTATTATATGTTTTCTTTCCTTTTTACAGACACATAGGCTGTGTACAGACATACATAGGCTGAATATATTCTCTCTTCAGGCTGCATAAGCATGTGACGCTAGTGCTGGGAAGAAATGAAATGACAGAAATCGGAGGGTTTGGTTCCAGTCAGTGTGAAAAGCAATCTCAACCCATTAAGCCCTTATATCCATATACAAATTCTCCCAACTGATCTCCATACATTTCCTTAAAAAGTTAGTTGAGAGAATTTGATAAAAGATCAAAGCATTTTCCCTTTGGTGATCATGATTATTTTATAATTCTCACAACCTTTTCTCTTAATGATGTTTTGATATTGCTAGGAGAAATAATTATTGTTGTTAGTCACTTCTGGGACTTAAGGTTAATATACAGTGCTTGCTTTTGCAGCACATCACAAAGTTTATCTTGTTCATTTGTATTATACTTGAGCAATGTTTTGAATCCAAATATGAACATGACAAAACAAGCAAGGCTCACAACATAATTTTTGCCAACAGTATCATAGACAATTTAAGCTTACTGCAGCAGTATAAATGGAACACAATCAAAACACGATTTCTGCAATTAATCATCAAAGTGCCGCCCGGTTAGCTCAGTTGGGAGAGCGCCGGTCTGCTGAGCGGGAGGCCGTAGGTTCAAACCCCGGCCGGACCAACACTCAGGGTCTTTAAATAACTGAGGAGAAAGTGCTGCCTATGTAATAACATCTGCAAATGGTTAGACTTTCTAGTCTTCTCGGATAAGGATGATAAACCGTAGGCCCCGTCTCACAAGCCCTTGCACATGTAATAAATCTGTGGGACATTAAAGAACCCACACACTCTTCGTAAAGAGTAGGGCACGTAGTGCCCGGTGTAGTGGACTATCTCACTTTCACACTCATGTATGGGGGCATCATCACTCATTCCTTCAGTACTTGTAAACTGCGCCCTAAGCAGTCTGGCAAAGTCCCCCAACCAGTGTTGTAAATTATCCCTGAAAAGCCCTGTGGGGAGTGAATAATAAGATATTTAAAATTTACAATTTATACAGATCAAATTTCATGACCACTAGCTCTTGACTTCTTCATCAGTTACTGAAAAAATTAGCTGTTCTGGGGGACATGTAGTCTGCTACACAGCCATTTTTAGTGTCATCACGCAATGCTCCTCCCCACTAGCATTGCGTGACGACACTAAAAA